TTTTTTTTTTTTTGGTTCCGGTCCTGGGGCCTGAACTCTGGGCCTGGGTGCTGTCCCTCAGCTTTTCAGCTCCAGGCTAGCGCTAAGTGCCAGACATTCAGGACACAGAGTGAGGAAACAGACTTAGTTCCCAGCCACCTGTGGCTCCTGTTCCAGTGGGAGGGCAGCCATCAAACAATACACTTGAGGCCCAGATGATTAAAACTATGATAAGTCCTGAAAGATGCAATCGGTCTGTGAAACACTATACCTTGCAGGCAACTTCCATTTTCATGTGGTTATTTCCAAACAGTGTTGGCAGAGGCAGAGTGGTGATTTGAGAGGTCCCAGCACTTTCACACCGATGTAAGAATCTGGTCACTTCCATTTGCAGCTGAAGTGTATTCATGTGCCTAGGGGGACAGGACATGCAGAGGCTAGCCTCCTGAGAGGCTTCAAGAGGAGTGAGCTGCGTGGGGCTGGGCGATTCAGCACTTGTAAGATGAGGGTGACAGAAGAAACAAATGAAACCATGTGAGGGGAAAAAGAGATCTAAAATATCCTCTGAGCAGGTATGACCAAACAAAACTGGGTTAATCTAGTACCCTGTACAGATGTACAGTAGTTCAGGTGTACAATGGAATTGAACAAGGGCCAGGCATAGGATCAGTAAGTATTTACTGAGCACCTGTGTTTAAAGGGTAACACCAGAAGTCAAAGGAGGCATGGGTCATGCCCTTGAATTTATAGATGAGAGGAGAAAGGAGGAGCAACACCGAGAACATCCAGTGATTAAGCCAATGAAAGCAACAGATGGGAAAGATACGTCATTTTCTTTAGATGTTGCCTTCTTAGTGGAAGTATCAAGCAAGCTTAACTGGATTTTAAGCCTAAAGGAAGAAAGGACTTGGTGCTTTGAGGAAAGCATCTAAGACTGATGCTTAGCAAAGAAGAAGACAGGAGGAGAGACAGATGGAGACAACAGTAGGGGCTACATCATGCAGGACCTTTTTGTGACCAACTGTAAGGAGTGAAGAATTTGGTTTATTTGTAGCATGTGATTCCAATCCTCCTTATCCCCTCTTGCCCTATAAGCTCCTCTAAATAACTTTCCATACTTATCTAGACTCTGTCTTCCATGGATAAGGCCTTTTTTTTTTTTTTTTTTGACTTGTCTCAGAGCTTAAACTCTGGGCCTGAGTACTGTCCCTGAGCTTTTGTGCTGAAGTCTAGTGCTCTACCAGTTGAGCCACAGCTCCACTTCTGGCACGTTTTTTGTTTGTTTGTTTGTTAATTAGAGATAGGAGTCTCAAAGACTTTCCTGCCTAGGCTGGCTTTGACCTGGGAGCCTCAGATCTTGACCTCCTGAGTAGTTTGGATTACAGGTATGAGCCACCCATGCCCGGTGAGAATGCTTTTTACTTATTTTTTAAGCATTCAAGGAAGGGCAAGAATAGCTGGACAAGTCCCACCTTTTTGCCCTGCACTGATTAGGTTCTGAGCCTCAAGCTACCTGGATACATCAGCTGCAGTCATCTTTTTCCGGAAGAAGGCAGTTTTCTTTTTTCCAGAGCTGCGGGATGTTTCTTGGAGGTAGATCTTCAGGTGGTCCTTGGCCTTAAGGAGCCATGAGAGCTTCTCTCCCAGTTCCGTGTAAGACTTTGCTTTATGACTGAAGAACCGAATACAGGTCATGGCAGCCCGAACTTGGTCCTAGAAGAGCAAAATAATGTCCAGATCAAAAGCCATGAGGGTGTGGTTTGATGAGGATTTGGATCTACTTCCACTGAGGAAGCAGATCTTGTTCTCTTGTCTTTGGTATCCTTACCTTTATCTCCTGTTTTGTTTATATGGCCAGTCCTGGGACTTGAACTCAGGGCCTGGACATTATTGCTGAGCTTCTTTTGCTGGAACTCTACCACTTGAGCCACAGAGCTACTTGTGGCTCTTTCTGTTTATTTCGTACTGAGGAATCGAACCCAGGGCCTCAGGCGTGCAAGGCAAGCGCTCTACCACTGAGCCACCTTCCCAGCCCCTTTTTACTTATTTTTTAACTGTGGCTCTCTGTCCCAGGCATTCCCAGCTTGGAAAGGGGGTAAAAATTCCTTCTGTCTCTGACCAAGGTCTTCTGAGCACCTCCCCGTCTAGCTTGCATTCTAGGTGGGAGAGCAGTAAGGTCTCCATGAGCCCCATGAAACTCTCACTGGAGGCTGTCTTTCTGCTCAACAGTCCCTCCTAGTAGTCACATGTGTCTTTTGTTTTTGCTCAATTTCATATCATTTTCTATTACTAGAAGCTCTCTGTCCTGTCCTTGGCTCACTGAATCAGGTCACACTGTTTAGGGTATGAATGTGCTGTCCTCCTGGGCCCGGGTGGGGGGAGGGGAGTGTGGAGAGGAGCCGTGAGCTCTTACTTAGGCCTCCAGCTCTAATTAAGCCTATGAAGGCAAAATTCCTATTTAGAGAAGAAGGGCATTTTGCCAGAGTTTGGAATAGGATTTTGGCAAGATTTTGTGGCTTGAAATCATGTCAGTTCATACGGTCGCTGAGAAAAAAACATACTTGAAAAGTAGTAATAATTGTCTAGACCGTAGAGTATGTCTTTCACAGGGACAAAGCCACTGTCCCGTTGCGGGGGAGCTCAACGAAGGCTTAGGGAAGAACCCTAGTGTGGGACTCAGGGAATCTAGGTGTTTTTCCTGGCTGTTGTGTTCTCCATCTGATTCTAGAAAAGTCCTTCTCCATAGTTCAGAATATTGGAATTTTCTTCTTTCCAAGGATCTCATTAGGAGGTTGTACAAATAATGAAGAAATATTTAGAACATGAACTTCTTAACATCTAGACTAATAAATGGCCTGTACCTTCTGTGTGGGGATTAGCAATAAACCCTGGAGAACAGCTCTGTTACTTTAGAAGACACTGTTTGCCTAACATAAGGTTTCATCATAAGGGACTTAGTTGCCAGAACATTCCTCTGCAGATGGCAGGAGGGTCATAGTTAGCCACAATAGGGGCAGGTGGGGATAGTTCAACATGGCTGGCAATCCTCAAGGAGGATATGAGAAGCAATGTTCATCCATTTCCCAAACAGGGAAGGTAAGAGTTCACTAGTACCAGGGTAGAGCCTATCCTGGTGAATAAAAAAAAGAAAAAAAAAAAAGGACCTTGTTGGCTAAAGGGTTGAGTGGGGCTTTTTCTTACTGTCACCACTGCTTTCCAGGATAAAGAAATAATTGCTCACTTTATTTAGTCAGTCAACTTAAAGGAGGCACGTTGTAGAGCTCTCTGAGGAGGACCTCAGTATAAATGGAAAAGCCCTATTACCAAAGCCCTATCCAAGTCCCAGTTCTACCTCTGGATAACACATAAGCTGGGACAGAAGATTGCACAGAACTGTGGTTGGGAGCAAGGAAAGTAACCAGGGCTGCTCATTAGCATTGCCTCACCTTATTGTCATCGTTGTGTATTGCCTGGATCAGACCCTCCAACTCCTGTGCAGAACAGAGACAAAGCAGTATGAGCAGGAGAAGGCTTTGTAGCTGGGAGCCAGGGCCCAATCCAGTCTCAGCTTAATCACTAAGACTCCAGGTGGGGGGCGGGATGTCTGCCTGACTCTTCTTTTTAAAACTCAACTCCTATTAGAATAGCAATAAAGGAAAACTAGTGCTAACAACAAGGGTGGCAATTTCAGGAGAAGGAACACCTCTTGAGAAGCCTGTCCTTGGCCTTCACAGATAGATGTGGTGGTTTAGCTCACAAAGAAGCCATTTGCCTGCCATTTGCAGGCAGCACACCTCAAAGACCATCAGCTGGCCCTTCCTGATCTCCTGTAGAATCACAGAGAGCAACGCAACTCTGTCAGTCCACAGAACTTTTCAGGGGCACACGATACTAGATAGAGGTACACCTTCTGGGTACAGAGGTCATGAATTTTCTTAGCAGGGAAGACCATTATTGCAAAGGTCAGAAAGATAAAAGGATCTTGTGGCATTTCAGACACATTATGGGGAACAGAGAAAGAAAGATGGTAAGATTGAAGTAGATGGAGGATCAGAGAGGCAGGGGAGTGAGTGCACCTGCGGTGGGATTCTCTTGAAGGCTTCCACGCAGTTGAGAAGGATGGTGTCCCCATCGCTTTTGGCTGCCATGCCTGACTCACTGACACATTTGAGCAGTTGTCGGATCTCGCTGTATTTCTCCTTTTCCACCAGCTGCCGGGCAGCTCTACAGTAGGTGGCAGCAGCATCCAGCTGGAAGTCCTGGAAAGGAATATGGGATGATGGCCTTAGGATGGCAGGGGATACTGCAGGAAGGGAGGAGACATGCTTAATGTAGATAAGCCATGTGGTCTGCAGTCTCAATAGGAAGTATAAATACAAATATAAACAAACCAAAAACAAACAGCAAGCTCCACTTTGGAGTCAGGCAGATATTTAGCATAAATCCGTAAAAATTATGATTTTAATATCTGAAATGGTACATCTTGCTGAGCACTGGTAATTACAAGACTTACACATGTAATTCTTTTTTTTTTTTATTTCTTTTTTTGTTTTGTTTTTGGGTCTGGTCGTGGGGCCTGAACTCTGGGCCTGGGCGCTGTCCCTCAGCTCTTCAGCTCAAGGCTAGCGCTCTACCACTTGAGCCACAGCGCCACTTCTGGTTTTCTGGTGGTTAATTGGAGATAAGAGTCTCACACTGCCCAGGCTGGCTTTGAACTGTGATTCTCAGATCTCAGCCTCCTGAGTAGCTAGGATTATAGGCATAAGCCACTGGCTCCTGACTTTTTACTTTTTTTTTTTTTCCCCTTGGGTCTGGTGGTGGGTCTGAATTCTGGGCCTGGGCTCTGTCCTTCAGCTCTTCAGCTCAAGGCTAGCGCTCTACCACTTGAGCCACAGCGCCACTTCTGGCTTTTTACTTGAGCCATAGCGCCACTTCTGGCTTTTTTCTTTTTTCTTATTTGGTGCTGAGGAATCGAACCCAGGGCCTCATGTGTACAAGGCAAGCGCTCTACCACTGAGCCACCTTCCCAGCCCCTTTTTACTTTTTTTTTTTTTTTTGGTTCCGGTCCTGGGGCCTGAACTCTGGGCCTGGGTGCTGTCCCTCAGCTTTTCAGCTCCAGGCTAGCGCTAAGTGCCAGACATTCAGGACACAGAGTGAGGAAACAGACTTAGTTCCCAGCCACCTGTGGCTCCTGTTCCAGTGGGAGGGCAGCCATCAAACAATACACTTGAGGCCCAGATGATTAAAACTATGATAAGTCCTGAAAGATGCAATCGGTCTGTGAAACACTATACCTTGCAGGCAACTTCCATTTTCATGTGGTTATTTCCAAACAGTGTTGGCAGAGGCAGAGTGGTGATTTGAGAGGTCCCAGCACTTTCACACCGATGTAAGAATCTGGTCACTTCCATTTGCAGCTGAAGTGTATTCATGTGCCTAGGGGGACAGGACATGCAGAGGCTAGCCTCCTGAGAGGCTTCAAGAGGAGTGAGCTGCGTGGGGCTGGGCGATTCAGCACTTGTAAGATGAGGGTGACAGAAGAAACAAATGAAACCATGTGAGGGGAAAAAGAGATCTAAAATATCCTCTGAGCAGGTATGACCAAACAAAACTGGGTTAATCTAGTACCCTGTACAGATGTACAGTAGTTCAGGTGTACAATGGAATTGAACAAGGGCCAGGCATAGGATCAGTAAGTATTTACTGAGCACCTGTGTTTAAAGGGTAACACCAGAAGTCAAAGGAGGCATGGGTCATGCCCTTGAATTTATAGATGAGAGGAGAAAGGAGGAGCAACACCGAGAACATCCAGTGATTAAGCCAATGAAAGCAACAGATGGGAAAGATACGTCATTTTCTTTAGATGTTGCCTTCTTAGTGGAAGTATCAAGCAAGCTTAACTGGATTTTAAGCCTAAAGGAAGAAAGGACTTGGTGCTTTGAGGAAAGCATCTAAGACTGATGCTTAGCAAAGAAGAAGACAGGAGGAGAGACAGATGGAGACAACAGTAGGGGCTACATCATGCAGGACCTTTTTGTGACCAACTGTAAGGAGTGAAGAATTTGGTTTATTTGTAGCATGTGATTCCAATCCTCCTTATCCCCTCTTGCCCTATAAGCTCCTCTAAATAACTTTCCATACTTATCTAGACTCTGTCTTCCATGGATAAGGCCTTTTTTTTTTTTTTTTTTGACTTGTCTCAGAGCTTAAACTCTGGGCCTGAGTACTGTCCCTGAGCTTTTGTGCTGAAGTCTAGTGCTCTACCAGTTGAGCCACAGCTCCACTTCTGGCACGTTTTTTGTTTGTTTGTTTGTTAATTAGAGATAGGAGTCTCAAAGACTTTCCTGCCTAGGCTGGCTTTGACCTGGGAGCCTCAGATCTTGACCTCCTGAGTAGTTTGGATTACAGGTATGAGCCACCCATGCCCGGTGAGAATGCTTTTTACTTATTTTTTAAGCATTCAAGGAAGGGCAAGAATAGCTGGACAAGTCCCACCTTTTTGCCCTGCACTGATTAGGTTCTGAGCCTCAAGCTACCTGGATACATCAGCTGCAGTCATCTTTTTCCGGAAGAAGGCAGTTTTCTTTTTTCCAGAGCTGCGGGATGTTTCTTGGAGGTAGATCTTCAGGTGGTCCTTGGCCTTAAGGAGCCATGAGAGCTTCTCTCCCAGTTCCGTGTAAGACTTTGCTTTATGACTGAAGAACCGAATACAGGTCATGGCAGCCCGAACTTGGTCCTAGAAGAGCAAAATAATGTCCAGATCAAAAGCCATGAGGGTGTGGTTTGATGAGGATTTGGATCTACTTCCACTGAGGAAGCAGATCTTGTTCTCTTGTCTTTGGTATCCTTACCTTTATCTCCTGTTTTGTTTATATGGCCAGTCCTGGGACTTGAACTCAGGGCCTGGACATTATTGCTGAGCTTCTTTTGCTGGAACTCTACCACTTGAGCCACAGAGCTACTTGTGGCTCTTTCTGTTTATTTCGTACTGAGGAATCGAACCCAAGGCTCACACATTCTAGGCTAGACTCTACCACTAAGCCACATTCCCAGCCCCCCTCCTGTTTATTTCTGCTTCCTTGCTAAGGATGACTACCCACATTCATTGCCAGTTGAATTGCTAGTTTCTCAGTAATTCCAAGGCCCACGAGATCCTAAAGTAAATTGAGTGGCTGAGGTCCTGGACTGGAATTATTCCACCACCAAAGTGATTTAAAGGAAGATACTTTTCATTTTATCATTCACCATGGCTTTGTTCTTAGCCTGAATAATTTAATTTCTCCATGATTTAGTGCCAGCAAGGCTAAGACAGGTTAAGAGAAATCTGTTCGTTCTCCCGCATGCCCTTTTCTCTAAAGACACTTAACTATTCTGTCATTCCTTACGAACCTTGTATCTTTTTTAGCCTTTACATACTTTGAATTCTGCAGAATGCCATTACAGACAAGATTTAAGTCCAACTCTAAATTGAAGTTGGAATCCTAATACTGAACAATAGTAGAGAGCAAGAAGGATTTGCTGTAGGGCCAAATAGCAAAGCCAAGAGATCAAATGATAGTTCTGTTCCCTCATCTTATATACCTTGCCCTGAATGGCAGGGCATTAGTAACAAGGGTAGAAGGGAGGACAGGGCTACTGTTACCTTCATAAACTGCTGTAGTTCGTACAGAATGTGGTAGTAGTTCTTCTTCTGTAAATGCTGGCAGGCAGCAATCAAATACGTTCCCCAACTCTCCAAGGTTGGATCGATGGATTCTAGTAAGTTTTCTAATGTGTGTAGCTTTCCACTTTTATAGCTTGGCTGGAAAATTCCTTCTATAAAGACTTCTGGAGGACTGTCCTAAAGCAGGGTAAGATGAGAGGTTAGGAATCTGGAGCTTGGTCTTGGTATAATCTGGCATCCACTCTGAATTTCCTTCTACTCATGGACCCTTCTAGGGTGTATCCTCCTAGGCCTGGTGCTTGCCAGGATAGCACTCTACTACTTGCGTCACATCCCCAGAACTTTTTGCTTTCCATTATTTTTAAAATAGATTCTCTCTCTCTCTGGCCTTGATTACAATCCTTCTATTTATGCTTTCTGCATAGCTATCGATAGATGTGTACTACCAAACCCAGCTCTTTATTGGTTGAGATGGGGTTCTCATCAACTCTTTGCCTGGGTTGGTCTCAAAACCATGATCCTCCCAATGTAAACCCTCCCAAGTAGTTAGAATTTTAGGATTATAGGCATGAGCTATTGCTCCTGGCTTCTTTTCCCTGAAACTCCAACATCAAATCCACCATCAAGTCCTATTGCCTCTATTACCAAAATACACACAGAAGCACTTAGTACTTCCTCAACCTATTCTGCACTTATCCGTATGTCTATGTGGCTCCCTCTTTACGTCCTTCCTCCAGCTGTTTCCTCATATGTCACCTCCCCTGCATACCCTATCTAAAATCGCACAACTTTCTCCTTCCTCTTCTCCTTTGGTTTGGGGATGGGGTAGCATTATCTAGTCCAGGTTAACCTTGAATTTAGATTATTTTATTTCAACTTCCTGAGTGCTGGGATTACAGCACTCTTATTTTATCCTGGTTGCCATCACCTATTCTTCACATTTTACTTGGCTTATTGTTTCTCTGTCCATTACCATGTAGGTTTATGAGACTGGGGTTTTTCATTGTTATGTCCCTAGTGTCCTTAGTTATTTTAACAATTGCACAAATAGGTTAATGTACAATTGATGAACACTATGGACTAACTGCTCTGGAAAATGCACATGCATATTAATCTCACTTTTGAAGCTTATCTGTGCTTCAGAGATACTGAGTCATAAAACCCCATTCCATATTAATAGAAAAGAAAGAAAACCATTTTGACATTTTGACGTTACAGAGTAACGTAGAGTAAACGATGACTTTTAAGTGTATGGTAGTAGAATGTGCTGGGGTGGGCTGCTTAGAAGTGGACAGGATCTGGGCTTTGAGAATATCTACCGCAGGCGGGGGTTAGGGCTTCCTTCCTGTTTTCTATATCTTCCTAATCAAGAAATCCAGGCCTGATTTAAATGTTTTAGGTCAGACTTTAATCAAGGGGATCAGCTCCAAAGGAGAGGGAACTCTCTTCTGAGACCTCAGAAGAGCACTTTAAGGACATTCATTTTAAACTGGAAGCCTGTAATCCTAGCTACTCAGGAGGCTGAGAACTGAGGATTGTGGCTCAAAGCCATCCCAGGCAAGAAAAGTCCGTGAGGCTCTTATCTCCAGTTAACTACTAGAAAACCGGAAGTGGTGCTGTGGCTTAACTGGTAGAGTGCTCACTTTGAGCTGAAGAGTTCAGGGACAGCGCCTAGGCCCAGAGTTCAAGCCCCATGACTGGAAAAAAAAAATTCATTTTATCTATTCATCTACCCATTCATTCATCCCTAACTAGTACTAAGCCAATTGCCTGAATATACACATAGGTAAAATGCAGGCCTTCTGGGCGAGGACAGGAAGACTCACTTATAAACCAATAGTTCCAATCAGGTGGGATAAATGAAGTAGAACAGGCACACAGGTGGTGCAGAGAGACTGTTGACGGGTGCTGCTTGTGTGTTCTGTGAGTGCTTAACAGGGAGGCTTTGAAAAGATAAACAGGAGATTTCCAAGAGAAGAAGAAGGGACAGGGCAGTAGGTAGAAGGAACAGAGCATGAAGACTTGCAGAGATAAGATACTACATGGAATAATCAGTAAAATTTAAGTAATTTAGTAATTTAGAATGAAGTATAGATAGAATTTGCGGTGAAAGTAAAGTGGAAAATTTTCCGGGCATGTGCGTGTGTGCGTGTCCGTGTGTGTCCCCTTTGGCATGCTAAGGAATTTGGATTTCATACGGGCAACCACTGGAGGTCTTTTAGGGAGGAGAATAATATGAGTGTACTTAAATTTTAGGAAGCTTATTCTGAAGGCAGAACAAGCATACCTAAGATAGACAGAGAAAACACTAGCAACAGAATGTTTTCAAAGATTCCAAACCCTAGGCACTCAGGTCATCTTCACCATGCATTTTTCCACACCTTTACCTTCTTGAGAACAAAGCAAAGCTATTTCAATTCAAGGATTACTGATGGCAGGGCATAAAAGGAAGACTTTCTTCCTTGTTCTGACAAGCACAAAGCAGGGGCATGCTGTTGTCAGCTTCTACCAAGATAAGGAGTTAAGCAGCTTAACTCTCTGGACTACAGCTGTCTAAAGGAACAGGAGTGGATGTGTCCCATTCTCAATTTCTGCTTGGGAAAAGCATCTTAACCTCTAAACTCATCTGGGAAAAGATGAAAAGAGAAAAAAGTTTGCAATTAAATTCCAAACAACAAATTTTCTATATGATTCTTCAGATCCTCTTAGTAGTTAAGATGCCACGCAATGGCCAAAGATTTTTTTTTTTAACTGTCCTGTAGGGGTCTGATTACCACCATGCTATAACCTGTTGACTTCACTTGGAGCCATCTGAGGAAGACATGTCTTCCTATAAACTTTCACTAACCATTGTTCAAATTTAAGGTGGATGGATGATATTAATAGTTACTTTGAGTTCCTTTAGTTTTATATGAAATTTGGTAAGTCTGACTTAATTGCTCAGGAAGTTATTCGTGAATGTTCAGATGAAAAGAAATGCTGAAGGGCTATGGTGAAATGGAGTCCTGATTGCTTATCAGAGATTCCAGTGAAGCAATGTACTGCAGTCGTGCCTCTGTCTCTTGTAGGAGGAAGATAGGCAAGAAGAGCCATGAAAGAAGAGCATCTTCCCTTTCATCATGTGCATGGGATCTGTGCCATGGCCCTTGAGGTAACAACTGTGAGCAGACACCATCCCAGGTCAGGTGCGAGCCCAAAGGAAACAGAGCGAGGTTCATCCCTTTGTGGGAATGAACTCTGTCATTACCAGCCAGGAGGGTGATCTTGTTACACACTCATTGGACAATAATGTAAAAACAATCTTCCGCTTTGACCTGACTCTGTGCATGTCTCACCTTGTTGAGGAGGTGTAAGAGGGCTTCCCGTAGACAGCTGTGCCTCATGTAGAAGCTGATGATGGCTAGGTTGGTACTATAGTTATGCAGGTAGAAAAGGCATTCTTGGTAGTAGGTGTTGTTCATGGTTTTTCCTTCAGGAATCACTTCCAGGGAGAGGCTCTGGGTTCGAAGGGTCATTTCAAGTTCCCTCAAGGTGGCAAAGTAATCATCATCTTGCTGATAGGAAAGGAGAGGAAAAATAGAATCCAACAAGTTTCAGCCAATGTAAGCCATTGGCTCCTGGCTGTGATATTTTTTCATTTAAAAAACAAATGGCTTAGCCTCTAATCCAGGACTGACATCATCAGATGAATTTAAGCTGGTCTGTTCCCCAAGTCCTTACTTTTCCTAGCATTCCTCCCAGAGCCAGGCACTCTTGCTGCTTTGCTCTTACCAGGGAAACAAGGGGTCTTGCTGTGGACTCCAGGTATTCAACCACATCCTGGACCAGCCTGGAGCCATGACTTAGGTGATTGAGGTCCAAAGGGGGTTTCAGACAGCGGCTGAACTTTTCTCGTGCAGCATTGAGGTTCCCAGCTTTGAGGCAGGCCATGCCCCATGCATGCCAAGCCCCAGCGGAATCAAGCCCAGTTTTTGTGGAAACCTGGAGGAAAAATTGTTTCTTTTGGTAAGAGATGCCTGTGTCCAGGCCTGACTCTCCCAAAGATCTAAATCTTGCCCCTTCCAGCCAACCACCTCTTTGCCACCCTACCTAATTGGCATTCTGGTCAGAGTAATCTAGAGATATGGTATAACCTGTTTGCCAGGACAAGGAAAGGTCGGCCACTCATTAGTGTGGGGTAGGATGTAAGCTTGGTCTTGCCTCACCTCAATGCCCAGTTGGTAGTATTCAGCTTCCAGAAGCTGGTTTCTTAGCCTGGTTACTGCAGCTGGCTGTAAGATCTGATCTAGAGATGGCACGTGGCGATAGGCAGCAGCAACTAAAATATTCAGTACATCCACCTTGCTGATGTAACTACAGGGAGGAAAAGGGCACAGAGATGACAGTGCATAGAGTCTTCTAAGAACAGTTGACAAAAGGTTTTCTAGTTCATTTTCACTGTGAAATGTGATCATGGGAACTGTGAGTACCACAGACTCTCAGTGAAGGTTCTGGAGTCAAGACTGTGAACCCAAGTTCCATTGCTTAGTAGCTTTGCAACTTAGGACAAATTGGTTAACTTTCATCTACCTCGACTTATGAATCTACAAAATGGCAGTTAAAAATAAAATGAAATTTCTCACATGAAAGAGCTTAGGATAGTGTCTGGAACTTTTCCAAGCACTCATAAATGTTCATTAACTATGCTTTTTTTTTTTTTTTTGCCAGTTCTGGGGCTTGAACTCAGGGCCTAGGCACTGTCCCTGAGCTTCTTTTGCTCAAGGCTAGCATTCTACCACTTGAGCTACAGCACTACTTCCAGATTTTTCTGATTATGTGGTATTGAGGAATTGAACCCAGGGCTTCATGTATGTTAGGCAAGCACTCTCGCACTAAGCCACATTCCCAGCCCATGAATGTTAACTATGAATGCCTGGTGCAGGGCTCCCTTGGGTTTCTATCTGAGATAGGGCCTTTACACTGAAAGTTTGGGGCACACAGCCATTTAGGTTTTGGTCCTGCTGGCTTGGAAAACAGATTTAGTACTGATGACCTATACTCCCAGTCCTGGAAGTGATGCAGAACATTCTGGCTCTTGCATGTGGCTAAGGATGGTCCTTTCTTATAGATCACTAGGGTTACCTGCTGTGACCTTACTCCTGACAAAAACTTTATGGAGCTAAGAGAGCTCAGAGGACTAGACCATTCTGTTTGATGTTGCTTCACTCAAATTCATACTCATGGTTCTTGAGTGCTGTTCATAATTATAGTAAAGATTACTGTGGATCCTGACTTGTCCACTGACTTCCCTGGAAAGGGATTCTTTACATTAGTGATGCGTAACTTAGATGGGAGGGGGTATGGGTAGTATGTAAAAACAGATTGGGAACCATAATATATTTGGATATTTGGGGGAAAAAAAAGACCTTTAAAAGAGATGATGTGCTTTTATTTTCAAATATATATAACTTATTTGTCTATCAGAGGTTAAAACCAGTACAAGAGTACTGAATTGAAAACAGAACAAGAATACTCTAGAAACTAAAGAGCTCTTAGCTGGTTTGCATGGCAATATGCAGGAAATTCATCCAGGCCCATGGGTAAAGAGGCACAAAATCAATGTGTCTTTATAATGAATGTATCGGAATATAGGGTATGGGAGAAAGGATGTATGATTTGAAATCAGTGCTGAAAACTGTCCTGTTAGCCCATGATACCTTGGGGTAGGGAAGAATCTTACTGAAATGAGGACTTGGTTCCTGCCCCCCTCAGCTGAAAATGAATATTTTGATTTTAAAGGATATGATGTTAAGTTTACTATTCCCTATCAGAATAGCCTTTCCTCTCTCATCCCTTCAATTCCCTTCTTTCTTTTTTCTATTCAATAGCATGGTTTTAAATTAAGGGCTTGACCTTGCTAGGCTGGTGAGAAAGTATCTAAGGGAGACAAAGAAAACTATGCTTCCCATCCCAGATCTGGTTAGGACTGGTACTGGGAACATAAAGCGTGAGTAATGCATCTGGGTGGAGAAGCAAAGAATTAGGGAGTTTTCATTGTCAAGTTAATAAATGGAGTCAAAGCAGGTTGTGCAGGAACCTGAGGGAACCTAGTCATGTCTTTCCCATGGATCCTTTGATTTCATGACTCACATTTCTACTGTGACACATCAAGCTTTGTGTGTGTGTGTGTGTGTGTGTGTGTTTGTGTGCCACTCAGGATGAGACTCAGGGTTTCAAGATGCCTTCACAGATCTACTACCCAGAACTACCAGTCAAAATTGAGTTCTGTGCAAGGCTAATCAATAATCACTGGCCATTCAGGGAGGATACATTTCCTTTAAAAAGGAGAAAGGTCCAGACAACAAAGGTACTTCCCTAAAATGATTTTAATTAGAAATCTTCACCAGAAGATTAATTAGAAGACTTCACTAGGTGAAGTCTTCACTTTCTGTCAGAGCATAGGTAGGGAAACTCTGCTTTAAGGATGTACTTAGGGTAAAAGGACACAGAATAGGGTGAGGAAGATCACTTGTGATTAGGTAATAGTATTTCATCAACATTCAAGTGAGATACGAATATTCTAGCATGTCTTGTCAGAGAGGATGAGGAGGTATCTCCCTACCCACTAAACAAAGAAAAGACTAGAAAGGAAGATAGATTAATATTGTCACCATATAAAAGAATCGAGATTCAGCCTGGTGCTGGTGGCTCATGTTTCTAACCTTAGCCACTCAGAAGATCTGAGGATTGAGGTTTGAAGCCAGTCTGGGCAGGGAAGTCCATAGAGACTTTTTTTTTTTTTTTGCAGGTCCTGGAGCTTGAACTCAGGGCCTAAACGGTGTCCCTGAGCCTTTCTGTGCTCAAAGCTAGTGCTCTACCACTTGAGCTGCAGCATCACTTCCAGCTTTTTCTGTTTAAGTAGTACTGAGGAATCGAACCCAGGGCTTCATGCATGCTAGGCAAGCACTCTAAAACTAAGCCACATTCCCAGTTCCCATAGACTCTTCTCTCCAATAAATTACCTCAGAAAAGTCAGAAGAAGAACTCTGTTTCAAGTAATAGAGGGCTAGCCTTCAGCAAACAAGCTTAGGGATAGTGCTCAGGTCTTGAATTCAAGCCATAGCACTAGTAAGAAAAGACTGGATTTTCATTCTCATATACCTGTCACAAAGAGCCAAGTCCTGGCTCTGGCCAGCCTTGACAAACATCATCTTGGCGCTAAAGAGCAGCTGCTTCATGATGTCCGTGAGCAACCCTGCATCCACTTCTGGGTTGGTGAGGCCCTTAGACAGCCTGCAACAGTGCTCAATTAGCTGATGACCACAGGCCACACTGTCCTGGTGCAGATTCAGGATGGCAATACACAAGGAGGCGCTAGGAGCCTGTCAAAGACAGACACACACACATAGTGAAGACAGGGGCCAAAGTGATCCTGAATTGCAGTTGCATGGCAGAAATTATCCTTTCCAAAAGGTTAAAATACAGTGGAGGAAGGAGCCCAAAATTCCACAGCAAAGCAGAAGAACTATATAAATGTCACATTCTTAGTGGCACTGCCAAAGTTCTGGCTGCTTCACACTTCTGGAGAATGTCCACAGGAGGTCTCTTATTTCTAGACTATCATCCATCACTGCAAACTCTTGATATCTGGCATGGACTACAAAGTTGCTTTGCTTGTCTGACCATGTGGAGGAGTCTTTGCTTTGAACACACTCCTTCTAAATTAATATTCATAAAGTATCCTTGGAAATGTTTGTAGGTCCCTGACACCTAGGAGTACTCATTTGTTACTTCAGAGTTCACAGCTCTACACGTAATAGTCTTCAGTCCCACCCTTTCCTTCCTTTCTACCAACACTACATTCCCTCCATATTAATATCCAATTCTTCATTCACACCCTTTTTTTTTGTCAGTTGTGGGGCTTGAACTCTGGGCTTGGGCGCTGTCTCTGAGCTCTTCAGCTCAAGGCGAGCACTCTAGCACTTGAGCCACAGCACCACTTCAGGTTTTCTGAGTGGTTAATTGGAGAAAAGCATCTCACGGACTTTCCTGCCTAGGCTGAGTTTGAACCGTGATCCTCAGATCTCAGCATCCTGAGTAGCTGGGTGCCAGTGTGAGCCACCAGCACTCAGCACACCCTATGATTTTTGATACTGCCTGTGATCAGACATTTGACTTCCGTACTCTGTTCTTTCTCTATTTTGATACCCTCACAACCCTCATATTTCTGCTTGTTATACTCCTGCCCCTCTTCTAAGGCTCATCTTAAATGCCATCTCTTCTGCAAAGCCTTTCTTTGAACAGGTGTATTCTCCAAGATGCTCCTCATCTTCTGCTTTAACTGTTCCCTGTTATCACACAGTAGGTAAAGTGAAGGCTAGGCTGTGTTCATCTATTTCTCTATTTCTTGCTGTATCACACATTGTAAAGAGAGTTAAATGACCATTATTACATTTTACTACTATTACCTGCTCATAGTAGAATTCACTCCTCACTAGCTCATTTTCTTCTTCATTTAGACTCAAAATCCATTCCACCTCTGCTGCTTTGGGAACTCTCACCACAGCCAGATACGGAAGGCTTTCGCTCTTAGAGCTTTCTGCAGCTGAGATGAGAATTGTATTGATGTGTCAGTCAAGCCCGGTCCAGTCTTGGTGTGTGTTGGAGGCAGATACTGCTGGCTATCTGAGGTCCTCTTACTTTCTCCTTGTGTGCTACTAGGCACCACAAACTTTCTTCCCTAGGCACAGACCTGGAATCTCACAGCTTTCGTCACATAATATTAGTATTTTACACAACAAATCCTGAGGAGTTTCTCTCTCTCTCTCTGTTAGTTGTGGTCTTGAACTCAGGGCCTGAGTCCTGTCCCTGAGCTCTTTTGCTAAAGGCTAGCTCTCTACCACTTTAAAAAGTTATGGTGCCATTTCCAGTTTTCAGGTGGTTACTTGGAGATAAGAGTCTCATGGATTTTCCTGCCCAGGCAGGTTCTGAACTGTGATCTTCAGATCTTAGCTTCCTGAGTAGTGAGGATTAGAGGCATAAGCCACAAGTGCCCAGTGGTATATGCTTTCTAAATGGATTGCTGACTCATTGGATACTCTAAAAACTAACCTATTGTGGAAAATTATTGGCCAAACTGATAACAGTGATTATCTGAGAAGAATGAGGGAGCACGGGATGGTAGGATGACAGTGAAAGGGAACCTGGGGTGGCATGGGTGGTAGTGGGGAAGAAATAACCCATTAAAAGGTAAGGATCATTGGGCGCTGGTGGCTCACAACTATAATCCTAACTACTCAGGAGGCTGAGATCTAAGGATCATGGTTTGAAACCAGCATGGGCAGGAAAGTCTGTGAGACTCTTATCTCCAATTAACCACCAGAAAACTGGAAGTGGCGTTGTGGCTCAAAGTGGTAGAGCACTAACCTTGAACAGTAAAACTCAGGGATAATATAATGCCTAGGACCTGAGTTCAATCCTCGTGACAGACCAAAAAAAAAAAAGAGGTAAGGATCAAATTCATTGATCACTGGCTTGAGAAACACCAAGAATTTTCTTCAGCAAACAAGTTGGATTGAGTTGCCATGGAGTATATCTGTTGTAGTTGATACATTGATAATAATGCCAACTTGAGCATATAAACCAAGAGTCAGATAATATAGTCAGGCCTTACCTTCTGATTGGCTTGGGCTTTCCTCTGATGTACTAAAAACAGAGGAAAAAAAAAGTCAAATGCAGGAATTTTTCCAGGGAATCACCAATAACCCTTTTCTCTCCCTCATGTGTCACAGCCAGCCTATTCCATAGTCTCTCACTACATCCTGTTCATTCTAACTCCTAGACATCCCTTTAAATGGCCCTACCTCTCTTCATTGCTGCCTCAGAAAGGGCCCTCATCATTTATTGCTAAAGGTTGCAACATTTTCCCACTGTTTCTTTGACTCTGATTTTGTCCAGCTATTTGGCAGCTTTCAAAAATGCAAATCCGAAGCTAGGTGACAGTGCCTCCTAGCTAATTAGGAAGCTGAAATCTGAGGATTGCAGTTCAAAGTCAGCTGGAGCAGGAAAGGCTCTGAGACTCTTACCTCCAATTAACCACCAAGAAGCTGGAAGTAGAGCTGTGGCTCAAGTTAGTGCCAGCCTTGAGTGAAAAAGCTAAGGGACAGAGTCCAGGTCCAGAGTTCAAGCCTCAGTACTGGCACACTCTATGTGTATACACACATGTCAGTACATACACACACATGTACATGTGCACACACTCACACACATATAAATGAAGATCTGGTCACATTCTGTCCTACTTAATGTCCTCCAGTAGCTGCTTAGGGTAAAACTATTCTACATTCACTCTTCTGTACACAAAGCACTTTTACGATCAGGCCTGTCTGCCTACCTGTGGAGGTCACCTCCTGTCACCTATGATTGATATTCAAGCTATATCCTGTTTTGCACTATCCCTGATCAACTTCTTAGTGCTGGTGCTAACAAGCACTAAGTCTCAATCAGTGTCCACATATATCACCCCCATGAGGAGCTTGCTGGTCCACCCTAGTCTATGATAGGAGAGAGCAAGTTCCAAGCCTTTGTGTCATTACCCAAGTCCTCCAGATTTAGCTACCAGTTAAGTCCAGGTTCTACTAGTCATAATCTTAGCCCATCACCTACCTATTTTCAGCACCTCAAAAAATTCACATTTTCCTCTGCTTCTACCTTTGCAGCATTACTCAATTTTTGAGTGTGTACTTCTTCTGGTTTTCTTACTAAAGCTCTAAGGTTCATCCTCTCAGGTTACCGCTAGAAACCCTCCTGACCTAGGCTAAGCTGTGTATACTGCCACCACGGCACTTACACAATCACCTGGGCTTTGTTTATTAGTCATCCCACTAGGTAGATGGAGGTTCCTTCAGGGTAAAGTCAGTTTTGCTGACTGCTGGTGAAAGATACACATCCACACTAATGGCTGATTTCCAACTGGTGTATGAGTAATTCCCATCCTGCTATGCCAGGGCCACAGAAAATGTAGAACAAGAAATGATACCACTTCCTTCCTAAACAATCGATACTCATCATGGCAGATAATGACCAAAATGTTTAGATTCAAACAGAAAAAAAAAGCTAATGAGCAGGATATGACATCTAGTTAAATCTGTCAAATAAAACAAAATGTGGAGAGTCAAAAGCATTTTTGCCCTTAGATAGTTGTTTCGGTCCATATTTCTATGTGCTCTAGGAGTCTTAGTTTCATACTCTTTTGCTACTAATAATGGGGAAAAATTGGCTAACACTGAACCAGCAACAGTCTTGATCTGTCCTGTCAGAGGTCAGAACAATTCTTTAAACCTATCTGCAGCTGAACTATGTGTAGAAAGTATCAGGGCTTGGCTGGGTGCAGGAGGCTCCTGCCTGTAATCCTAGATACTCAGGAGGCTGAGTTCTGAGGATTGAAGCCAGCCTGGGCAGGAAAGTCTGTGAGACTCTTATCTCTAACTAACTACCAGAAAACCAGAAGTGGCGTTATTTGCTCAAAGTGGTAGAGCACTGGTCTTGAGCAAAAGACAATGCCCAGGGACAGCAACCAGGCCTGGAGTTCAAGCCTCACAATTGACAAAAAAAGAAAAAGAAAAAGAAAAAAGAAAGTGTAAGGGCTTATCTAATTGTGGACAACAAACCAGGACTACCTAGAATTAAGAGCTGATGTAAGTGCTGTCCTTAAAATTCAGCGGGTATGGATGTGTCCCTTTAAATTGAGGCAAGACCAAAAGAAGAAAGAGTAACCAGGAAATAGGGAAGGTGATGAAGGGGACGATGGTCTCAGTCTGGACAGGAGCAAGGGCTGAAGAGCCAAGTGTCCTGATTTTGAGAAGACCAGTATGTAAGAACCTTGAAAATTGCTTCCTGTCATCTCTGCTTCTGACTCAAGTCCATCTTCAAACATTTCACTGTCGAGTTTATGCACTGCAGTGTGAATGTTAAACCAAACACTTTTTGTAAATGTTCCAGAGGTGAATTGTTTTCCACAACGAGATTCCTACAAGTATTAAGGTCTGAGGGAGGGTGCAGTTGTCAGAAGCAGTATCAGCTTCAGCTGATACTTCAGAACACTCACTCTTTGTTGTAGTAACTGTAGCACTGGTCACATACACGAGTAGGACTCTCCCTGCAGCCTTCCACCACCATTTTCTTAGTGGAACAAGAACCACACACTAGCCGGCCACAGCGGCGACAGTGATGACGTCTGTTGAACTGAGAAATGCCATTGGCATAGAAAGAAGAGGGAAAAAGAGATGGTGAGATTCAGTCTATTTATACTTAGCTTCAGTCACCTGTGACCTATTAAAAACATCAAGAGTTTGAGCTTGTTTTGAAAATGAGCACACTTATCCCTGCCCTCAAAAAAGGGGTGGTGGCTCAAGCCTGTAATCCTAGCTACTCAGTAGGCTGAGATATGAGGATCGCAGTTCAAAGTCAGCTTAGGCAGGAATGTCTGTGAAACTCTTATCTCTAATTAACCACCAGAAAACCAGAAGTGGTGCTGTGGCTCAAGTGGTAGAGTGCTAGCCTTGAGCTGAAGAGCTGAAGGACAGCTTCCAGCCCAGCGTTCAAGCCCCATGACCGACCAAAAAAAAAAAAAAAGGGCCTGAAGGGTATAGCTCTGGTACAGTGCTTGCCTAGCATACACAGGGCTCTAAGATCCTCAGCATAAAAGAAAAAGAAAAAAATAGAGAAGCAAAAAGAAAGCAAGCTGACACTTTAGGATCATTCAGCTGACAGGAAAACATTTAAGAGACAGTTTTGTAATCAGTAGTACTGGAAGTATTATTTCTGTATGAATGCAACATGTAGAGGCACAGAAAATCAGTAGTGGGGAAGAAGTAACATTCCAGCCAGAAAGAACCACATTTCTACATAGTATTGACGATGATGAAACAGCATCCTTTCTCTAAATATTTCTTATTTCATTAAAAGTGACTGATAGCCTATGTTCTTTTACATATGAAGAAACAGACGTAGGGAAATGAAATCACCATTTGTTTTAATTAGCACTGAGCTAATCTGTCAGGTAGTAGTAGGCTAAGTGGGACCTTTGTTATTGCATTTAATCCTAAAAGCTCCATGAGACAATCCATGTATTATCCCTACCTTATAAGTGGACACATACGACTAAAAAAGTGTATGGTCATATTGATATTAGGAGGCAGAGCTGGAATAAGAAACCAGGTCCTCTTTCTTCTGAGCTAGCAGGTAGAACCACTATCAGGTTGTTGTCTTATTGAGAAAGACATGGGAGCTAGAAATATAAGATCCCTTAACACTTGGTGATTCTTCCCACCTTTTGCATTATCTCCTGATAATGGCAAAGTTTAAAATTTAAGGCTATATGAAAATGACTTGAATAAATTTTAAATATATACTCAGGCCAAATATACTCAGGACACAGAGATCTGAGACTCATGGTTCAAAGCCAGCTAGGGTAGAAATTCTCTAAGGGCAAAAAAGCTGAAATTCAAGGCATAGCTCAAATGGTAGAGCACCAGTCATGCATGAAAAAGCAGAAAAAGAGCCCGAGGCTCTGAGTTCAAACAAACAACCCTCCAAACAAAACATAACATAAAAACAAACCAAACCATAAAACCTAACTATGGTTAGGTTAAAGGTAAATCCAAAGTGTTAGTTTTGGAAATTTTTTTGAAAATAGCAGTATCCGCTAGGACTTGAAATGAAGTTAGGCTCATGACGTCCCTGAGTGCGGCTGAGAATGATGCCACCTACCATGGTGAAGTGCTCCCTGCGGCACACCATGCAGATGTTTTCAGTCTCATCTGGTACCCACTGGCTCCTGGCAGGAGGTGCTGATGGGGGCACAAATTCCAGTAGAGGCTGATTTGGAGCAAAACACCTTTCACTTGGGCTGGGGGAACATGCCATGGAGACACCTAGGAACCAGAGGTCAGAGTAAAAAGTGATCAATCTTCCATCCCATAAATAAAAAAGAGAAGGATAGAAGTTCACCATTTTACAAAGCCCTTCTGAAATAATATGTCCAGTTGATGATTATCAATAGCTGCTTGTGTGAGAAAAGAGATAACAGAAACTTTGTATGCCTCCTGTTAAAAATGTAAAGCAGGGCTAGGAAGGTGGCTCAGTGGTAGAGTGTTTGCCTTGCATGCGTGAGGCCCTGGGTTCCATTCCTCAGCACCACATAAGCAGAAAAAGCCGGAAGTGGCGCTGTGGCTCAAGTGGTAGAGCGCTAGCCTTGAGCTGAAAGGGCTGAGGAACAGCGCTCAGGCCCAGAGTTCAGACCCCACGACCGGACCACCCCTCTCCCCACCAAAAAAAAAAAAAAAACGTAAAGCAAAACCAATCAAGTGTAATTATCAAAAAACATTAAGTGCAAATTAATACATTCTTCAAGAAAGATCTATCAGTGTACTAGAGAGCAGAGACTCAGATTGTCATAAGGAAGCAACCAGCAAAACCAGCATGTGGGAAGCTTTATGGGACAAATGTCACAATTTCCTCCTCACATAAAAGAAGTGGGAGATCTAGTGATTAAAACAGACTTAAAAATTTAGCCTGATAGTTGGGTGCCTGTGGCTCATGCCTGTAATCCTAGCTACTCAGGAGGATGAGATCTGAGGATCACGGTTCAAAGCCAGCAAAGGCAGGAAAGTCCCTGAGACTCATCTCCAATAAACCACAGAAGTGGTGCTGTGGCTCAAGAGGTAGAGTGCTTGCCTTGAGCTGAAGAGTACAGGGACAGCACCCAAGCCCAGAGTTCAAGCCCCACAACCGACCAAAAAAAAAAAAAAAGACAAACTTAGCCTGACTAGGGGCTGGGAAGGTGGCTCAGTGGTAGAATGCTTGCCTTAGATGCACGAGGCCATGGGTTCCATTCCTCAGCACCACATAAACAGTAAAAGCTCGAAATGGCCCTGTGGCTCAAGTGGTAGAGTGCCTGCCTTGAGCTAAAGAGCTGAGGGACAGCATCCAGGCCCAGAGTTCAAGCCCCAGAACTGACCCCCTCCCCGCCCCCCCAAAAAAAATTTAGCCTGACTAAAAATTTAGTCTGAGCAGGTGCTGGTGGCTCATTCCTGTAATCCTAGCTACTCAGGAGGCTGAGATATGAGGATTGAGGTTTGAAGCCAGCCAGGGCTGTGAAGCTCTTATCTCCAATTGATTACAGAAGAAGCCATTAGTGGTTCTGTGGCTCAAGTGGTAGAGAGCTAACTTTGAGCAAAAGGAGCTTAGGGACAGTGCCCAGGCCCAGAGTTCAAACACAAGGACTGACCGACTAACCAACACCAACCAACCAACCAACCAATCAACCAATCAACCAACCAATATACAAACATAGTCTGATTAAAACAAACTTAAAATTTTAGCCAAATTCTATGTGGAGAAATTAGACTTTGATTCTAGACAAATCGACTATAAAAACGTTATGTGGCCGGGCGCCAGTGGCTCATGCCTGTAATCCTACTCAGGAGGCTGAGATCTGAGGATCACAGTTCAAAGCCAGCCAGGGCAGGAAAGTCCATGAGACTCTTATCTCCAATGAACCACTGAGAAAACTGGAAGTGGCACTGTGGTTCAAGGGGTAGAATGCTTGCCTTGAGCTGAAGAGCTGAGGGACAGTGCCCAGGCCCAGAGTTCAAGCCCCATGACCGACAAAAACAAAAAGAAAAAACAAAAAGAAAAACGTTATGTGTTAGGTGCAATGGCTCATGTTTATAATCCCAGTTACTGGTGAGGTAGAGATTAAGACTATAATTCAAGAATAGCCTGAACAGGGGCTGGGAAGGTGGCTCAGTGGTAGAGTGCTTGCCTTGCATGCCTGAGGCCCTGGGTTTGATTCCTCAGCACCACATAAGAAAAAAGAAAAAAAGCCAGAAGTGGCGATGTGGCTCAAGTGGTAGAGTGCTAGCCTTGAGCTGAAGAGCTGAGGGACAGCGCCCAGGCCCAGAGTTTAGGCCCCACGACCGGACCCAAAAAAAAAAAAAAAAAAGAATAGCCTGAACAAAAGTTACTGAGACCCCACTGAACCAATAGCTGGGATGGTAGCATATGCTTGTCATCATGGCTATGTGATAGGTATAAATAGGAGGATCATGGCCTAGGCCAGCCTGGGCAAAAGCAGAAGACCCTATCCTAAATATAAATTAGGCAGAAAAGGCTGGGGCATGGCTCAATGGATAGGAGTGCTTATCTATTAAGCATAAGGCACTAAGTTCAACTGCCAGTACCACAACAAAATAAAAGCAACAAAATAAAACAACAAAACTTAATGAACAACTAGGAACATATGAACCCTAGATATCTGAAGATAATAAGGGATCTTCTTCGGTAATATAATGATTTTATGGTTTTCTTTTAGGAATTTAAAAGAAAATATTTATAAATGAAATGATACCTTTGGTACTTATTTCAAGATAAACCAAAAAAAGTAGAGGTATAGATGAAACAAGAATGGTCATTGTAAAGAGATAGTTATTATAGCTGGGTGACTGGTAGGTGAACCTCATTATATTCTTTTTACTTTATAGTATACAATTTCCATACAAAAAGCATATATTCACACACACACATACACACACCAATGCTTCTCATCTACCTGTGAGTCTGGTTCTCTGGCCAGTTGGTTATTGAGAAGCTAATTAATTCCCAGAGATAGCTAGAAATGCTACACTTTCCTCTATGGTATCTAAGGAGATTTCTTATCACTTAGCAGAGAAAATAGAAAAAAACACTGTAATCTTTATCAGAAAAAGAGACAAACAGAAGCATGCTCTCCTGAATAGGTGGCAAAACAATCACTGCATTGCTAGAGACTGGGGAGAGCAGGGCTGCTAAAAAGAATGACCAAAACACGGCTGAGGCCTTCTAGGAGCTTGTTCCTTTTGTGTAACGGAATTTTCAAGGGGATTAAACCCAGTCAATTCTCATTAGCAGGATCCATATTTGTGAGTTTGTCTATTCACTAATATACAACCATCCTCAAAAATCAACACTTGCAGTGCTTTCATGGTCATTTGCAGCCATGTCCAGAGTGACATAAATTTTGAGTTGCCCAACATTGAAGTTGTCAGTTGAATGGACTAAGGTGGCACTCTTCCCTCTTGTCTTAGCTCTTATGTGGTAACCAGAGAATGTAAAGAGGAGACAATGCAAGATAGGTATAAGTAGCTCTAGTTAGAACTAGTTAGGACCAGGCATACAGATTTTTCTTTTTTTGTTGGTTGTGGGGCTTGAACTCTGGGCCTGGATGCTGTCCCTCAGCTCTTCAGCTCAAGATGAGCTCTCTACCCCTTGAGCCACAGTGCCACTTCCGGTTTTCTGAGTGGTTTATTGGAGATGAGAGTCTCAAGGACTTTCCTGCCTTGGCTGGCTTTGTATTAGATCTCAGCCTCTTGAATAGCTAGGATTACAGGTGTGAGCCACTGATGCCTGGCTCCAGGCAGATTTTGAATCCTATCTCTGGCTCTTATTAGTAGGTGCCTCAGAGAAGTCATTTCTCAATCTCTTCTTTTGTAAACTAAAGAGAAGAGAATGTACTAGGATAAGTTATTTTCAAGGTTTGAGACTATAATCTATATAGTGTGTATGTATATGTGTATGCATGCCTCTATGTGTATGTAGCTTCCTCTTGAAGCAGTGGTTTAGGATTCACAAACTCAATGTTTTTTTTTTTACAGTCTGTAAGTCAGAATAAGGCAAAGTTAAAGTGAAAACCAGGTAGCAGTTCTTACCAGAAACAGTAGTAGAGAATTCTGTTGATGGTGATCTAGACAGGGTTTCAGGTTCCGAAGTCTGATGAACAATTTCCTGGAGATGAATCACAGAATCTGCCAAGAGGGATCTGCCATAAGCATCTTTATCCATTATGTTAAGTATTCAGTTCAAAGCTCTATGGGCTCTGCTGACTGTCAAACCGTGACTCTAAGATAATGGTGGAGTATTTCTTTATTTTGATTGGTTGTGGGGCTTGAACTCTGGGCCTGGATGCAGTCCCTGAGCTCTTCAGCTCAAGGCTAGTGCTCTACCACTTGAGCCACAGCACCACTTCTATTTTTCTGGTGGTTAATCGGAGATAAGACTCTCATGGATGTTCCTGTCCTTGCTGGCTTCAAACCTGGATCCTCAGATCTCAGCCTCCAGAGTAGCTAGGATTATAGGTGTGTGCCTGGCTATGGTAGAGTACTTCTAAGACATGTTTTGGCACATGAGATTATGGAGTAGTAGCCACTAGTTATTTTTCAAAGTAAATTAAAAAATGTTAAGAGAAGACAATTATAGGTACACATTTCATTGCTTCATTCTAAAAGTAGTTGAGTCAGCTGTCATATAAGTTTTATCTGATGTGACTGAGAATGAAGCACTCTCCATTAAAAAAAAAAAAAAGATGGCATTTTTAGGCCACTCTATCAAGGCCAGACAGAAATACTGTCCAGCAATATTTGCTTCCCCAAACCTTCATGGTAGTTATTCAGTGGTTGTCTACCTTTGTTTCATTCTGACCAAAATCTCTCCCAAGAAGAGCTGTGTCTCCTAAAGTAATTCCTTTCACTTTAATCAACCCCAAATAATAAGAGAGGGGAAAATGAAAACAAAGAATGGAGCATGGTATTGCTTTCTCCATACAGAACCACTATCTAGAATGCTGCAGTTACCTGATCGTTTCTCCCTCAGAGGGTATGGGAGGTCCAGGGCTTTCCCTGCATATCTGGAAAGCAAGGAGTCAACCTCATTCATGGTGAAGCCAATCTCCTGTCCAGTCAGCAACTGGTTCAGAGTCTGCACTGCCAGAGTGGCCCAATCCACCTTCATGTTCATCAGCAGCTGCTCTAACATGAGTAGGGGGTTGGAGGACAAGTGGGAATAGCTGTTCCGGTGCTGCTCAGGCAGAGTCAGCAGAACCTATTTGTGGGGGTAAACCCATAGAGAAAAGAGAACAATAAACACATCTCAAAAGAAAGCTGAGATTCTTTTGGGAGAAAGAATTCCAGAGAGCTGAAAGTCTATAGTACTATTGTGATTTGCTAGGAGTCTTTCATCAAGCAAGGCTACTCTCCCTAAGTCATCTAAGTGGCTATGAAGAGTATTCCAAGCACTTTTACCCAGATAACAGGATGGTAATTCTTTTTTCTATCAAGGATCAGAGAGTGTCGAGCAATGGTGGCTCATACTGTTAATCCTAGTTACTCAGGAGGCTGAGATCTAAGGACCCTGGTTCAAAGTCAGCCTAGGCAGGAAAGTCTGTGAGATTTCTCTCCAATTAACCATCAGAAAACTGGAAGTGGAGAGCAATGGCTCAAAGTGGTAAAGTGTTAGCCTTGAGCAGAAAAGCTCAGGGACCCTGCCAAGGTCCTGAGTTCAAGCCCCACAACCACTAACACCAATAACAAAAAAAGAGACAGTGAGCAAATTTTTTAGGTTTTAAGATGTATAAAATGATTCAGCTTTTCCAATGTAGTGTGAAAGCAATCATAAACAAACATGTAAGTGAATGGATATGCTTTGTTTCAATAAAACTTGATTTACAAAATATGCTAGATTTGGTTCTCAGGTAGTAATCTATTAACCCCTTGCCTGGACCCTCAAAAGCACAGTTGGGCTTTGCCTCAATGTTACTTTTTTTTTTTATGATTTTTTTTTATTGTAAAGATACTATACAGAGGGTTACAGTTACATGAGTGAGGTAATGAGTACACTTCCTCTTGAACATTGTTAGCCCCTCCATTCAATGTTACTTTTTGTACCTTGAAGTTTCTCCAGTTAGTATTTTCAAGGTTATATAATAAAGGTAAAGAAGTATTACATCATTTAATTACTAGACAACTTTTTTTGTTGTTGTTGGTCATGGGGCTTGAACTCTGGGCCTGGACGCTTTGGTCCCTCAGCTCTTCAGCTCAAGGCTTGAACCACAGCGCCACTTCCGGGTTTCTGGTGGTTTATTGGAGATAAGAGTCTCATGGACTTTCCTGCCTAGATTGGCTTTGAACCGTGATCCTCAGATCTCAGCCTCCTGAGTAGCTAGGATTACAGGCATGAGCCCCTGGTGAATACACACACACACACACACACACTTACTTTTTATTTGGGGGGGGGGTCTGGTTATGGGGCCTGAATTCTGGGCCTGGGCAGTGTCCCTCAGCTCTTCAGCTCAAGGCTAGTGCTCTACCATTTGAGCCATAGCACCACTTCTGGCTTTTTCCTTTTTGCTTATGTGGTGTTGAGGAATCGAACCCAGGGCCTCATACATGCAAGGCAAGCGCTCTACCACTGAGCCACCTTCCCAGCCCCCGCCTGGCTATTATTTTTAAAGGCCAGGGTGGTTCTAAAACATGGTCCAGATTGAGAAGCACTGATATAGAAGTGCCATGGAAAGTGGAAAGACCCTTGAGAAGACATTTTGAATAAAGGGCTGCAAGAGTATGACAAGTCCTAAGAGGCACATCTAGGGAATGGTGGGCTGTGTGGTTACAATCTTATAGCACAGGCTAAGGATAGCAGGCACTGGCAGAAGAGCTTCTGAAAGGGCAGGTTCTAGTGTGGGAGTTGGGCCAGCAGTCACCCTCCTCAGACATCATGCTTTCTTGAAACCTTTCCCCCTTACCTTGGATCCCATGTACAGGGCCTGGATTTCATGGTGTCGAGCAGTGGTCAGTTCTCCATAGAAATGGGTGGTGAGGTAGTTGGCCAAGAAGTGTGATGTGGCCAAGCTAGGATGCTGGTCAAGGGACTTCTCTGTGACCTCAAGGCACATGGCAGGGTCAGGGATTCTTTGCAGAAGCTATAGCAGAAGAATGGGTAGAAAAGGAAGGCAAGGCTTTCCTAAGAACTCTGGAGCTGCCTTGCTTGCTTAGAGAAAGGAATACTTGGTTTATTTTTTTGGGTTCATCCTTTCCCTACGCTCATTTTTGTTACCTCCATACCTTCACCAATAAGTCACAATTTTTTTTTTCCTGGTTGTGAGGCTTGAACTCAGGGGCTAGGAGCTGTCCCTGAGCTCTTTTGTTCAAGGCTATCATTGTACCACTTTGAGCCATAGCTCCATTTCTGGTTGGAGATAAGAGTCTTATGGACTTTCCAGCCCAGTCTGGCTTTGAACCACGCTTCTCAGATCTCAGCCTCCAGAGTAGCTAGGATTATATGTGAGCTACCAGTGCCTGGCTGAGACATAGTTTTGATAGGATTTAGATTCTTCATTACAAGAATTCTAGTCCCAGTTGTTCTACTTGGCACCCAGTATAGAGAGAGGCACTTTCTCTCAAGGTGACTGTGACTTGCTTCTGAAGGACAGTTAGGCAGATATGAGATTGCAAATATTTTGCATGGGATTCATGGGAAAAAGTCATCTGATTTCACTAACTTTGTTCTTCCCAATTGGAGAAATTCTGTAGACCAATAATATGTGGGCCTAATAAACCTGTTGGGGATTAGATTCCATGTCCCCCACTTACTTTACTATCCCAATGTGTGAACTCTACACTAAAGTTTCAGGATGGAATTCCCAGGGCTTTACCCAAGTATTACAACACAGTGGTACCTGGGTTGCCCTCCATATACTTGTCTGTCATGCTGTATCTAGTACCTTGCTTGAGCTCCTTGGATCTGGACTTACTTCTATCATTTGACATATTATATTGCAATCATATCTAAATGAGTCTTACATCATCACCCTTATTCTCCCTAAAATGTGGCTCAATGCAGCACAAGGACTACTAACCCTAATTATTAACACTGTCATACTACCATCTAGCAAAGTAGCCAGGAATATTCAGTGTCTCCTAAATGAATAAGCATTCAAATGAATGTCTACATTTTGAACTATGATATATCAACTTCTTAAAAGGCAGATAAAGTTCTCCTTAGGGTGCAAATGGCCAATGAATAGAAAAGATATTCATTACTAATAATGGAAATGTGAATTGCAACAATGGAAAGAATCAGAGACTTACTTTCAAAGCCTTTTCATGATCTCTTCTTTCTAGTAGGTAGAGAAGATGGTTTTGATGTAGGCTGATTAAATGTTCCTTTGAAATGGGGTATAGGCAGCCCCATTCCTCACATAGCTCATACTCCTGCAAAGAAACACACATGTCTTCAATTCCTTTAAGTTACTGGCCATGTCATTTGTCCATTTTTTGTCTGAAAAGCTGGACAGTATAAACAGTGTAAGTATGGGGCACTGTGAGTGGGAATATAATTGGGACAACCAACTTGAAGAGGGAGGGTGTTTATGCCCAATGACACAGCCATTAGAGATATATATTCAGTGCATAGCATGCAGTGTATAAAGTTCTGCATAGGAACACAATTGTGATGACAGGAAAGGGTCAATTGTATTATAGTCTATACTGGCAAATTTTACAATTAAAAAAAAAAGAATGGGATGCAGTTACAAAAAATTGTGGACATTGATACATATAACCAGCTAAAGAGTTGAAGCTCTGGAAAGAAAAGGGAGGGAAAATGATACCTGTGCTTCCAGAATCATGTTCATGATAGCTGATGGGTCCTCAACACAGCAGCTCTTCAGGGCCTGCCAGTCACACCACACTGGGGGATCCTGCAAACCTAGAATCTAAGGAAAGACAGGAAGACCCATGAAACCACACTGTAGCTTTTTCCTCCATGAGCAAGTCACTTTTATGTCCACGGAAGGGCCTCCCCTAGATCTCTGCCTCAAAAGTGGGCCATCACTCTAGTTTAGGAAAGAGGAAAATGAATCCAAATGGGACAGAGATCATTGAGAGAGTGAACCTCTTGGGAAGTAAAATCAGTGAGCAAAGGCTGAGTGGGAGGCTAGAATTGGAGCTTTTACTGGTAAAGATAATTCTCTGAGGTCCAAAGCTTGTCCATTTTTCTGAGTTCACTTGTCCCAAGCTCCTCTATATCAAAACTCCACCACAGACATTCTTTTTTTTTTGGTCCAGTCATGGGGCCTGAACTCTGGGACTGAGCACTGTCCCTCAGCTCTTCAGCTCAAGGCTAGCGCTCTACCACTTGAGCCACAGTGCCACTTCTGGCTTTTTTCTTATGTGGTGCTGAGGAATTGAACCCAGGGCCTCAGGCATGCAAGGCAAGCGCTCTACCACTGAGCCACCTTCCCAGCCCCAACACAGACATTCTTTTGAATTGAATATTCTGCAGGATCATCTTTCCTGCAGCATGAATGAAAACTGCTGAGGTGTGAGAGTAAACCTTTCTCTCCTGCCATGTTTACTGTCTCTAGTGAAGCTCTAGATTCAGTTCTGTTCAAGAACACATGGGAAAAACAGAATGTATTGTGTATTACTTATGTAGCTGTACTTCCTGAATCTGCCTGCTTGAGCCTCTTCAGCTTGGATATAATACTTATCCCTCAAAAATCTTTCCCTTTTGAAATTGCCATTGTCATTCAAGCTTTCAAAATGGACCCTGAATTACCTGAAATTTAGAACAATTTTTAAGAAAAGATATATCAAAGCTCAAATACACATTGTGGAGCAATGTTAATATTTTTATTATCTTTGCTTAGTTCAAATGTATTTAAAACAATAGGAATAAATAACACTGGAACCAGATAGAGGGCCTCTTCCTTGTTCACTTAAGAGTGGATGTCAGATGCACAAGCAAAGTCAGAGCTATATTTTCTGTTTTTAAAACTTCCCCATAGGCCAGGTGCCGGTGGCTCACGCCTGTAATCCTAGCTACTCAGGTGGCTGAGATCTGAGGATTGCAGTTCAAAGCCAGCCCTGGCAGGAAAGTCTATGAGACTCTTATCTCCAATAAATCACTAGAAAACCAGAAGTGGCGCTGTGGCTCAAGTGGTAGAGCCTTGAGCTGAAGAGTGCAGGGACAGCACCCAAGCCCAGAGTTCAAGCCCCATGACCGATCAACAACAACAACAAACCTTCCCCATCACACACAAATAGGCTGAGGGTTGGCTTCACGTGAGAAGCTTGTTTCCTTCTCTTGATGCCAGAATCCCATACCTTCTGATACACCTGCAGCTCTGCCAACTTCCTCTGCAGCTCAGACTTTAAACCTTCTTGGATAGCTTTATCTGAAATGCAGTAGGCTAGGATCTCCAGACATGACTCTAGGGGCCACCTGTCCATAAACTGCAAGGCCAGCCGACTTCTCAGACATGCATCCTTCACAGGAAACAGGTATCGCCATGCTTCCTTGTCTATAAAACAAAAGTAATATCCAGATATACGTTTTTGGCACATTGCGTAAATAGCACTCTTTCAAACTTATTTCATCAGTGAAAGCTGAGTATTCCCCTGAAATTTCTACTTAAGAGCTACTTCAGATAAATGATTTTACTTCACTGGGTATTTTGTCTTATTTGTTAGATCTCTTACTCCCATACTCATTTCACAGATTTGGCAAAGAAATATAAAAAACAGACTCCAAGCAATTTAGACCACATAGCCTTTGTGTTGATTCTTACCTTCTTCAGGAGGGATTTTTCTCCTTTCTTCAAGTAGCCAAGCTGCCTACCCAAAAGCCATTCCATACAGGTCATCCAATTCTTGCTTTCCCTAGTGAAGTGTGATAACTCACCAGCTTTCAACCTGATTACATATGAAAATTTCCCAGGGAGAGTGTGTGTGTGGGGACAGGGGATTGAACTCAAGGCCCAGGGAGTGTGTGTGTGTGTGTGTGTGTGCGCGCGTGTGTGTGTTGGTACAGGAGATTGAACTCGAGGCCTTGTGCTCTCTCAACTTTTTTGCTCAGAGTTGGTATTCTACCATTTGAGCCACACCTCTAGGCCAGCTTTATTGCTGGTTAATTGGAAATTAGAGCTTTGTAGACTTTTCAGCTTTGGCTTGTGTTGAACCTCAATCCTCATATTTCAGCCTATTAAGTAGCTAGAATTACAGGTGAACTACCAGAGCCGATTCCTAGGGAGATTTTAAAGTAGGGATAATTGAACAGGCTCATAGTTTGCTTATGTTTTATTTTATTATTGTTATTATATTATTATTATTCCAGTCCTGGGGCTTAAACTCAGGGCCTGGCACTGTCCCTGAGCTTCTTTTGCTTAAGGCTAGCACTCTTCTATTTGAGCCACAGCGCCACTTCTGGCCTTTTCTGTTTATGTGGTACTGAGGAATTGAATCCAGGACTTCATGCATGCTAAGCAAACACTCTACCACTCAGTCATATTCCCAGGCCCCTGTTTTTATTTTTTAATTAACTAATTAAAAGATTCCATCTATGTAGCTCAGATTGGTTTTATGATCTTCCAGCTTTAGCCTTGCACTGGGAATACAGGCATGTGTCATGATACTCAGCTTAATTTATTTTTGCAAATACAATTAGAATATATATATATATATGTATATGTATATATACATACATGCTTTATGTATTGATTATGGTTGCTTTCATGTTATAGTGGTAGAGTTGAGTAGTTGCAACAAAGAGTGCATGGCCTACAAGTTTTTTACAAAAAAACTTTTCTGATATTTATTTGTGCTGGTCCTGGAGCTTGAACCCAGGACTTGCTTTGCTCAAGACTAGTGCTTTACTATTTGAGCCATACCTCCACTTTGGCTTTTTGTTGTTAAATTGGAGATAAAGGTCTCATGGACTTCCCTGAATGTACTAGCTTTGAATCTCAATTTTAAGATTTAGCCTCCTGAGTAGATAATGTTGCAGGCATGAGCTACTGGCACCTGGCTTCTGACTTGTCTTTTTTTTTTTTTT